AATTAATAATACATACTCCCCCCTCAAACACCCCTACCCCCACAAAAAAAAACAAAAAAACAACAAAAAACAAAAAAAAAACTGCGCTTTCCTATCGGGTTTTTGTCCAGATTTATCTTTAATAGAAGCATACAGTTTTTCAAACGATCTTTTAATATCTGATTCCATATTTACTTACTTGTATATTTGCTCTCGTATAATGCGCACCGTAAATCTATTGCAAACGGTTAAATGAGAGAGTTAAAAACGAATGTGTACATTTTAAACTCAAAAGAACAAAAATGAAAGAAAATTCAACTGCTTAGTTTTTTTTCTTTTTTTTTTTTTGTGCCATCTACAAATATCGTCTGCCCATACCGCTTGGAATTCTGATTCCTGGAACAAATTAATCTTGTTACGGAAAAAATTATTTAAATCTTAATAAGCCTGCCGTAGGAAATATGCACCGCGCCAGAGAGGAAATTGTTCATGAAATTTAGAATGATTTTCTTCATTTTCTGGTAATGCTGTTATTATGGCTGTGCGAGGCATGCTCGGTTAGAGCAGCGCCAAAAACATAACCAAAGGAACTTTCACTTCGCGTATAATGCACGGATACTCTTTGAGGTGCTAATTTTTATTAAAAGAGTTGTGTGCTTTAAAGTGCGATTAATTTATTTTCTTTTGGTTGTAATTGCAGAGAAACTATTGAAACCTGTTATAGATAAAAAAAAACAAAAAACAAAAACAAAAAACATACTTACTCTCTTTGCCTTTTCATATTCATGCTCGACATCAGTGCCAAAGAAATATCGATGTTTTGCCGTGACATTAGGGAAATAAAATGAGTCTTTGCAGACGCATTTGTAAGAGCCTCGTCGGAACCCAAGTCCTCGGATAGGATCACACTGAAGGTAAAAGGTTAAAAGAAAAAAAATGTTATTATAAAAAAGAAGTAGAATTCGGATAAACAAAAGAAATTATTTAAAAAAAGAAATTTAAGAATATAAGAAAGAAAAAGCAAATACAACGTAAAAGAGAATTAATAACAAATGATTATACAGAAATCATTCTATTATAATTCATCGCTCGAGTTTTTTTCTGCTCAAGGAAGAGTCTGTTCCCCGCCAAAAGCAGCTCGGAATTGACTCCCTCAATCTCATTTGTGATGTTGATATAATATGACCGGAAGTTCTCAATATTCGGCTTCGTTATCACTTGATCACAAACGCCTACATTTATTTATTTAAAAAAAAAATCTTTAAATCATTTCACCCCCAGTAAAGCAATAAAGTCACTAGGACGCAAGAGGTTACTGAGTATTAGAGATTATAAGAAAAATACTACTAAATGAAGAAAACTGTTGTAATGGAATGTCCCACACTCCCTATCGCCTATGTGGACTGACTATATCAGTAGATATATATAGTAAGCACAGGATATACCTAGCGAACTTCTTTCGGCAATTAGTTGGAGATTCGTCTCCAGCTGTGCTGGTCGAACTCTATGCCTTCGAGCAGAGAGGAACTCAGACGAGGCTATGCCGAAGAGCGTTGTCTGGTGTGGTAGACTGCTACTCGACCCCGTATATGCGTGGTCTATGGGGAATTTTTGCCCGAGCCTACGGGCTCGGTTTTTACCCCGCATTAAAATGGCCTTGTGCCACATCCTGTCACGAGGGGGTGGGGTAAGGTAAATACTCTTGCTTTGGCAATTAATTGGAGATTCGTCTCTAGCTGTGCTGGTCTTCGGGCAGAGAGGAACTCAGATGAGGATATGCCAAAGGACAGAGTCTTGACATGGGGGGCGGGTAGACATCTACCCGACCCCGTGTATACAGGGCCTACGAGGAAGGCCGGCCAACAATTTCGACGGACTTACGCATTTACCTTCTAAGGCGCATTACAGTCGTCCGGCGACGGCGAACGAAGGCCGGCCAATAAATTCGACGGAATTACGCATTTACCTTCTAAGGCGCATTACAGGCTCGGTTTTGCTCCGCATTAAAAAACGGCCGTGTGCCACATCCTGCCTCGCGGGGAGGTAAATTAAATAAACTTGCTTCGGCAATTAGTTGGAGATTCGTATCCAGCTGTGCTGGTCGAACTCTCAGCCTTCGGCCAGAGAGAAACCTAGACCAGGCTATGTCGAAGAGCAGAGTCTCGTCTGGAGTGGTAGAAAGCTACCCGACCCCATGTATACGGAATCCATGAGGAATTTTTGCACGAGCCTACGGGCTCGGCTTTGCCCGGCATTAAAAAACGGCCGTGTGCCACATCCTGCCTCGCGGGGAGGTAAGGTAAATAACCTTGCTTCAGGAATTACTAGCTTGCTAACCGATTCCCTGTCTTTCAGTAATGTATTCTCTTTTACAATAAACCTCTCTTTCTTTCATCTACGTGTTGCTGTTCCTTTCACTCGAGTACCACCTTTGTCTGCTTGTAACCTCTTTAAAGATCCAACAAAAACAAAAAAAGAATAAGAGTTAAAAGACAGAAGATAACGATTGACATTACATCTAAATTCTTGAAGATCAAAGTTGACTAGGAAGCAGTGAGTTTTACAAACGAGAAGTGCAAGTGAAGAAACAGTTAGCATAGAAATTACGGTTTCATCTAGCAATTTCAACATTAAAATAGTGAGGCCTTGCGTCAATCAAGTACATTCATTTAAACTTCGTATTTTCTTGATTTCAGATTATAATTATATTTTAGATGAATAGAAAAATGATCAAAGTTCACTGTAAAGCCAGAAACCGAAAAAGGTTTCCACAAGCGAGAAGTGCGATAGAAGAAATTGCTAGCATAGAACTTACGGTAACAGCTAGCCATTTCAACAGTAAAATGCTGATACCTTGCCGTCAATCTAATACTTAGTTACTTAGTTAGTTCGCTTACCCCTTGCCAAAACCTAATAAATAATGGACTGATTCGTTTTGACATTATGAAATCACGGAAATAATATATCAGAAACGCTACTTGGTTTCAGTGAAAAAAGAAAATAAGAAAGAAAAAAGAAGTGTCTGTTTCAGTGAAATGGAAAGATATTGTTAATTTCAAATCTTTTCTTTTGTATACCCTTAATTCTTAAAATAACGACAGTATTGAATTGAATATAACTGATACTTCTAACCTTTTTTGCCACGGGGAATTCTTGATAAATACCCGGCTGCTTACAACATGTATTACTGGTTTTACTCTTAAGTAAAATAAATTATTATAGGAGCAATCTCTTATATCGATTCCAGCTGCACCTGTCCGAAGCTAATGCAGCGGAGGCTTTTAAGAGACGTTTTAGGAATTCACGATGGAGTAATGGATAGCGGCTCGGATTGAGGAGTCGGAGAGCCGAGTTCGACTACGTGCTAATACCCTCGAGAAAGGTATGAACCCTCTTCTTCTCTCCCAAGCTATGGGGAAATAGCAGGACTGACCAAGTTCTATAGTCTTGGATGGCAACTGGTTTACCGCAGAAAGAAATGGAAACCTAATGCAGGAAAAAATCTGCCTTGTCAGTCATGTATCGAGAGATACATGATCGCTTAAGCGTGCATCACGCATGGCACATAATTGACTGAAATACATAAGAATTAATTTTATCAGAACCACTACCATTGTAATCTGAACATAAGTTTGCGTCCTGGGTATGACGATAAACTACATCCGCGTCCTGGGTAAGACGATAAACTACGTCCAACAGCAAGGCCTCTGATCAGGAGGTTTTGAGGAGCATGGAACCACCTCTTAATTGCTGGTGTTTCCAGGTCCACCCTGATGCGGGGTGGTAACACTTGTTAGGATCCCAGCTATGGGCAAATAGTTAACCCTGAAACTGGGGTAAAAACACAATGAGAGTGTAAAAATAGGTCTTAATACCAGAAATATTTTGTAAAAAATTATTGCCAGCAATAAATTTTTGAAGAAAAAAACTATTACCAGCAATAAATTTTTGAAAAAAAAAAAGAATATATTATTACCAGCGATACATTTTTGAAGGTAAAATATTACCAGAAATAGATTTTTGATAAAACAAAATATTACCAGCAATAAATATTTTGATAAATTTCTTTCGCTTTGGTCTAAGTGTTTATTCAAGATATTAGCATTATGTTTCTTAATAATTTTCTCTAAGTTTTCAGTACAGTTGTAACTTAATTTTAGTGTATTTTTATTGAAAATAATAATGAGTTTACTATCTTTAGGAAAATGCTTAACTATTAATGCAAGGGATTTTTGTCCTAATTTATTCTTTACCATTTGGTTGTATGGGGCTGTATACCAAATTATTTTTCTGCTTCTGTTTTTTCTATGCTTTCCATTTTCCTTATTTATATAAGTTAGTTTTGAGAAAATTATTAAGAAACATAATGCTAATATCTTGAATAAACACTTAGACCAAAACCAAAGAAATTAAGAAAATATAAAAATAAAAAGAGATGAAGACAAACAAAAATTATGTAATTATAGAAATCCACATAACTCTCCTCTACAAAATAAATGTCGTACGGAATCGTTAGTATACCAATGCAATATCTCATCTATTGAGAACAAAATATTACCAGCAATAGAAATTGTGTCGGCATTGCATAATCCATTGAGGTTGATAAGCCGTAAAACAAACCAAACTAAACTGAACATAAGTTTACATCTAAGTTACGATATATATTTTTCTTTTGTTATTTATTTACAAATCCTTTCTAATGATTTTTTCCTTTCGCTCCTGCTTTCCTAACTAAATATTTCCATCATTTGTGAAAACGTGTTATTATCAAGGTGTTAAAAATGTCTGATCCGACGAAATGGCCTTTAAACAGGGCTTTGATGTTCCCATCTGCATATTACCTTTAAAAAGGGCTTTGATTACCGATATTTTGTACCTGTGTCGAGATCTACTCAAAAAATAAAACCACTTCTATTTTTTATACTATTATTGGGTGAAAGGGTTAATGTAAAATAAACAACGTTTTATGAGTTTAGTGTAAGAGCCTCTAACAAAATATAACTGAGCATGCGCGCATAAAGGCACATGATCTCTATACTCCCCCCTCTCTCTCTCTTTTAATCTCTCTTTCACATACGCATCCATGCTCACGCATACTCTCTCTACTCCATCTTTCTTCTCTCACGTATACTAGCACAAACCCTCTCTGGTTGTCAGTTTGTCCTTCTCTTTTACACACATATATATGTACACACGCACACACTGTTCCATCTTCCCCTTTCTTCCTATTTCAAACTCACTCTCTTTCACACTCAATCTCTGTTCCGCATTCTCTTTTTCTCATACGTACACACGCACTCTCCCTCTCTCTCTGCCCCACTCTTTCTCTTTCTTCTTCTCTCTCTTGTGTACACGCACGCATACTTTCTCTTACAGACTGTCTTACTCTTCTCTCTCTCTGACACCCATACACACACATTCCTGTACTTGCATACTGTTTCTTCGCCCCTTTGACTCATTCCCCCTCTCTCACATATGCATGTCGTTACTCTCTCTGTATTATCCATCCTCTCCCTCGCACACACGCTCTCATGCCCACAAACATGTTCTAACCATATCCATTCTCTTCTAACCTCATTCCTTTTTACGCGCGCATTTTTTTTATCGTTGTTGTTTTTTACACACACACACACACACACACACACACACACACACACACACACACACACACACACACTTATGCACACACACACACTTATGCACACACACACACACACACAAAAAAAAAAAAAAAAAAAAAAAAACAGTGCAACCTCGGTTCTTGAACATGTGGGACAAATCGGTTTTCGAACAGAAAATTCGAGTTGAAAATGCCTCGGTTATCGAACAAAATTTCGGTTCTCTAAAAACCATTTCCGAGCCGAGTCAACCCGAACGGAATAATTTCTGACTCGACCGCCGTGTTGTATACATTCGTGTGCTGTGTTCTGTTTTTCTTTTCCAGTTTTATTGTACTGTGACTTTTCTTTCTCTACATTTGTTCCTATTGGAAAAAAATAGTTTCGGTTTACGAACATTTCGTGTTACGAACGGCCTTCAGGAACGAATTAAATTCGTGGACCGACCTTCCACTATATTCTCTTTCGTACGAACATACACGTAACATCTTATACTCATACGCTTTCTCGATACAGTTTAAGTATATGATCTACATGCATGATTCTTCTAAAATATGAGATCTGACTCAAAGAAAAATATCAATAAGCACTCGAAAAAATTGAAAGGTGTCCTTCTCCAAACATTACAATCTCATCTGGATTTCATTTGCTGGAAAATTATACGATCGAACTCCCCAAATTTATTTATTTCATTTTTGAATTATATTCAAAATGTCTACAGACAGTGGTAATATTAGTTAAAATAATAGTTTCCTTTAGTTCTGTTATCATATGCCTTTTGTTTAGTATATTATTATAGCTTATTAAATAAAGATCACTTCTTATTCCGTATATATCTATTTTTAATGTATATTTTAATGTAGTCAATTTTCTCAACTCGTAGATCAGATACTTTAGCGATGTGTTGTTCTGGTAGATAATACTCGGAAGGAAGATCTTTCCCCTAGGTACATAAACATAGCAACCATTTCCCCTCACCTCTCACTCTCTCTCTCTCTTTGTCATATGCTCCTCCTCCCGTACGCCAACATATCTACTCTCTCACATACGAAAATTTCGTCACTCATACATCACGCTCTTTCATTCATATAAACACACGCTCTCTCCCTCCCCCTCCCTCTCTCTCTTATCCATATGTTAATAGACACTGGCTTACTATCTCACTCTTTCTCTTTTTTTTTCCACAAACGCGCCGTTCTTAATTGATTAATGCTTGTCCTAAAAAAAATTCTGCAATGGCCGAAGACAAAATCAGTTTAGAAGCTGGAATATTATTAATTAAAAGTCTTAACGGCAACAAAAATATGTCAATATTATTCGTGCGGAAATTATAATCAATGCAATCACATAATTATTTTCAACATTTTTGACGGTAGTATATATATATATATATATATAATTATTTATTTAAAAATATGATTCCATCGCTACATAAGAATTCTCATGTTTCAAAACAAGAGCCGAAAAGAGGGCGAATATAATTATTTAAATTAAATTGAATTAAAGTACCAAGTTCTGTTCCATCTTCCAGCGAAATTTTTTTTGAATAGTTATTTATTCGTACAATAGTACAAAATGTTGTACAAGGCCAAAAAGGGGGTTGGGGAAGGACGGTCTCCTTCTGTCTTAATTCTAAACTTAGTTAGTCACAGACACGAACCCAAACATACCAACAATATCCCTATCACCAAAACAACACATTCACTCCTACCTTTATTACTACGCCCACCATAATACCTCAAATTCTCTATGAAATCCTAACTAGTCCCCATATGTACATTTCAAAGTCTGTGGGGGGGGATAAAACAACAATTTAAAAACCCCAATGATTATTTACAATGTGATTTAATACTATTTACGTAAAACAAAACAAAATAGGGTTAGTAATACCCCCCCCCCAATCCCTAAATGTGGCAGAAACATCAGTTAACTGGACGAAATAATTGCGGGATTATACCATTCTAAAAAAAACAAAACAAATACGCCCACAAACACGCACTCATTTAGACACAATAACAAATACGAAAACACACACGAAACGAAAGTCATCCCGCATCCACCAGAGAACTGACATCACTGACCACCTAACGAGGGAGGGGATGGGGAATTAAACAAAAGAAAAATAGGGACAGAAATAAAAGGGGCCAATGTGCATGCATACCCTAGCTAAGTTAACCAGTAAACGGGAAACTAAAGATTCAAACTAAAAAACCTAAACTAGCCTAATATCGGAGCGTGTTGCCACTGTTCAACCCTGATAGGACAAAATCCTGTACCTAACCGACATCCAAGTGCCACTCCAGGTCAACCCCTTTCACTCTACGCAGTCGCGCAAGATTTACCCACCTTTTGCTGAATTCTGATGAAGAGAGTCGCCGCCTTTCCGTCCTAATCTTGACTTTAAGCAGATGCCTAAAGTACAAGATCAGATGGGAAGATGTGAACTTCTCACCTCCATAGATTCCCTTCTGACGTGTCGAGCAAATCACGACTCTCATAACTCCTAGCAAGCAGTGGAACACATAAAGTTCAGCCTTCGTCAACGGCAGTGCCACATTGCTACAAACAGAAGAGGCCTCAAGAACAAATAACTTTCCGTGCAACATGCGAACCATGAGGCCTTCAACAAACTTACACAACGGAGCTACCAACTTGCAATGAAAGAAGACGTGACCTAGGGTCTCGACTTCCCCACTACAACGTCGGCAGTTTGGAGATTTCTCCAACTGAAATTTATGCGTTTTATAAGCATATTCATTATTAAAATTAAAATTACTATGGTAACGGCTAGATCAATTGTTTAAAGTAAAGGGACGTAAGGGTTAATAATTTGTATCAATATCTCAGTTACATTCAAAGACGTCAAGTCAGGGTAAGGTTGGGGTGTCTAAATTTAAAGCGGAAGATGACATCGTCTAGTCTGGTTAAGTGTCTACGGAGATTTATTTATTTTTTTATTTTATTTTTTATTTTTTTCTGAAAGGGTTTTGTGTATATAAAAAAACCATACATACATACATACACACACACACACACACACACACACACATATATATATATATATATATATATATATATATATATAATTTTAAACGTTATTTTTATTGGATAATCATATTCGAGTAGATACCTCGTTTATTTATTAAACAGTATATTTATTTATTGTCTTCCTTCTACCGGCTTGAATTTTTGAGAAATCTTATTAAAGAGAGGTATGCGATCTCCTGCAGGATTCTCACCTACCTCTCTCTGGGCAGAGAGAAACCTCTGTTAGATCCGACGCAACAAAACACTGATTGGGCCACCGAACAGCCATGCCGATCAATTTATGACGGGAGGATTGGATTTCACACTGTTCAAAATTTGCTTAGTCGGCAAGGCTGTATAACTACTTTTTGCATCCCCCTGTATATATATATATATATATATATATATATATATATATATATATTACAATGGATCATCCATACAAAAAGTAGATTAGTAAAGTTAATGATATAAAATGGCGAAATCCCTTCGCTAACCAAATTTTAAAGTTGCGTTAACCTATAAATCACTCGATGAATGTTATGATCCTTGTTTTTAAAAAATATAAGCTGTATAAGGTATTTTTTAAAAATCTGCTAGTACTTTCGACTGTACATTCAGTCATCTTCAAGCATGGAAATTATTTTGTTTTTGGTAAAATTCAGGTTGCACACGAGACGAAAAAATATAATGCGAATCGAAATATGTTTTCTTTTTTTTAATTATGTTATTGTTAACGGATACAAACTTTTGGAGCGTGCAGTCGCAACGCTAAGGTTGAATTTTTTTGAAAATTTAAAAGAGTGCGTTTTTTTTTACTAATATGGTAATTTGAGAATTTTTGTTGTTGTAGGAGTTTATCAGTAAATGTGGCATGAAATAAATTGTTCAATAAATAGAGTAATTTTTCAGTTGTTATCCCGAAAATTTGCACGTCGGATCAGTTCTGTTTAAATCAAATATGTGGTTCAGTTCAATTTATATTACAATGAATCATTCATACAAAAAGTAGATTAGTAAAATTAATGATATATTCATTTTTGTATGAATGATTCATTGCAATATAAATTGAACTGCACCACATATTTTATATATATATATATATATATATATATATATATATATATAGAGAGAGAGAGAGAGAGAGAGAGAAAGAGAGAGAGAGACACACAGATACAGACTGGCTATGCATTTCTTAAGTAGGTTACCTTGAAACGGAAATGAACAAACTCATGACTAGTGCAGTATACAAACGTTCCAGTTGAAAAATGCCTAACTCTCCTAAAATGCATCTAACATAAAGATAAAGTTCTCTCTACCAACAGCTAATGTAATAAAAATCTCCCGTCACACACACACACACACACACACACATATATATATATATACATATAAACATGCACAAAAAACAGAAAAAATGATTTAATAGAAATAAATCCCATTTATCCATTTTAATGGGTGAAAAAAGTATTTGTACAATACAAAAAAGAATACATAATCTTCATTTAATCTTTTGCAGAATAGCCATTATTCCTTTCGACAGCAACCAACCTCTTCTTGTAGTTCTCGATTTGCAAATTTTAGTTGGTATTTTGTTCCATTCATCTTCACATATGGTCTTCACATCCGGGATGTTTGTTGGAGCTCTCGATTGGATTTGAATTTTCAAATAACGTCACAGATTCTTGATTTGGTTTAGTCTGGGGACTGACTTGGCCATTTCAGGTTATTTACATTATTTTTAGCAAGCCATTTCTTCATAGATTTGGATTGCGCTTAGTGTCATTAACTTGTTTCAATCAAGAGAAAGTACAAGATTTTCTACCAAAATCATTAAATTTGCTTCCAAAATATTTTGATATGCTGTGACATTCATTCTACCATCTATTATAGATATGTTGCCAGTACCTTTTGTTTGAAGGCATCACCATCTTCCCTCAATACATGATTTTTAGAATTACGTCCAAACAATTCAATTTTGGTTTCGTCTGTCCATAATACTCTTTGCCAATATGATTTTTCTTATCCTTATATTCACGAACGAATTTCAACCTGGCGTCTCTGTGTCTTTTCAATAGCAGTGGAGTTTTCCGAGGGGAGCGTGACTTTAGATTGTTACAATGAATTTCATTGTTTATTGTCCGTTTAGTGACACAGATTCCTGATAAAAGCAAATCATCCTGCAACACTTGACATGTAACCATTGGATTTTGTTTAATTTGACGCATTAATTTCCTCAAAGATCTTGAAGATATATTCCGTGGAGTCCATGTTCTTTGAATTTTCAACAAATTTAAGTTTTTATACCTTGCAATGAATTAATTAATAGTAGTAAATGAAATATTCAGGTTGTCTGAGATTATCCTGTAAGTTTTACCTTCTTTCCAGAAATTAACAATCAGTTCTTTTTGCGAATTTGTCAAAAAATAAAAAAAATAAAAATAAAAACATTAAAAAACCCATTAAAATGAATAAATGAGATTTATTTCTATTAAATCAATTTTTTTGTTTTTTGTATATATGAATATAAAATTCAATTTACGAAGTTTTACATTTTTTATAATAAATGATACATTTTAGGTGTGTGTTTTCAACAAAGGTTTAATATATCTAAGAATTATCTTTATTTATTGCAATTTAATCCTTTTTCTACTTGTAGTGAACTTGATTTCTGTAGAATACGTTAATTTGGTTGTTATTAATCTTACCTTGTCATATTATTATTATTGTGTATGTAAAGTTTAGTTTGATAGTCAACATGATAATTATGGAAGCCGTTATGAAAAAAAAGTTTGCTTTATATAATTAATTCCTTAAGAATTTTTCCCCTAATTATAAACCCCTAATTCTCAAGATTAATAACAATGTCATTGACATATTTTAGAGAAAAAAATGAACTTGAACTTCAAAAAGATGAAATTACAATGAAAAGAGATAATCGTAGACTAATTAAACTTATTGATAAAATACGTACGAAACATTTGTCACCTATATATACATAAATATATATATATGATATAAATTCTTAGGCGGAATTGAGATAATTATAATTAAGTAATTCATCGAGTCTAAAAGAAACTTCAACAGAATGCAGAAAACACTGGACGACCGTTTCGTCCTATATTTGGAACTCATCAGCAGTGCGCATCAAGTACCGAGAATTGAAGACCGTTACGTTATCAGGCAAACGTCATACCAACTGTAAAAACGGGCTTCGGTGACGAAGAGGTAGCGAATTAGACTCGATATAGCGCCGCCCGATCATATATTCCGTGGTGAAACTTACCCGAGTTTCCCTTACCCATAGGAAAAAAGCCCCCACTACTATCCCCAATCCGCTCTATCCGAAGCATTAAAAGCCGGTTCAAATAAGGATATACAAGTGAAAGAAATTATTAGAAGGATTTAAGATAATTATAATTAAGTAATTCATCGAGTCTAGAAGAAACCTCAACAGAATGCAGAAAGCAGCAGTGAGCATCTACTACCTAGAATTGAAACCCTGACAGTTACATTATCAGGCAAACGTCATACCAACTGTACCAATGGGCCTCGGTGACGAAGTGGCATGACGCTTGCCTGATAACGTAACTGTCAGGATTTCAATTCTCGGTAGTCGATGTGCACTGCTGATGAGTCCCAAATATAGGGCGAAACGGCCGTCGAGTGCTTTCTGAATTCTGTTGAGGTTTCTTCTAGACTCGATGAATTACTTTTATATATATATGTTAAGATATTATATCGAAACATGCCAAAATCGCTACACAGGTGCAGTTGTGTTTCGATGCGTTTCAAATGCATCTCATCAGGCGATTATAAATTACTGGCGAGTGGACGATTTATTTAGATTTAAAAACAAAATACAACCTCTTTTACGAAAAAAAGGTGGGGGTTATAAAGTTTTTGGGCTTTACTGAGATCAACTAATCGAATATGACTTATGTTAAATTTAAACTAAGCGAAAAAACAAAAATTAAAAATTATTTTCCAATAATGGGTCATGACCCGCAGATTTTAAATCAATGGCAGCTCTGACTTCAAACAGGAACGGATGTTAATCGATACATATTGTACACACCAGAAAATGTAATTTCCTAAGGAAAAATGAGATGGAGTTGTAATTTAACAAAATGTTAAACAAGTTATATGCTTTGTAAGTTTCCTATATTTTTTTATATTTGATAAATAAATATTTTCTTTAAAAAACCAGTAAATAATTGAAACGTATATAATTATTCGGTAAAACATTATGCAACTGTTAACTAAAGATTCTTTATATAAGATGTTAATAACAATAACCAATCAATGCAAAGTGTTAAAAATACCAACCAAAATGCCAATACATCCCTACAAGATGTTACTAATACTACCAGGAAATCAATACAAAATTATATTAAATCCAAATTAATCTTACAAATAGAAAGATAAGCCATATATGGTGCAACACAATTCAGCGAAAATATAAGAAAAAGCATTGTCAAATTCCAAATCTAACTCAATTGTAATGTAAGCGGTAGACTGTGTTTACAATTTACCGTTAACTCGGATCATTGTTTTAATAAAGCATTCTTATCAAAGAACCTGATAATTTTCAGTTTTTCATATAAACACAGAAAACAGATTTCAAGTAAGGATCTACATGTCCTTGACATTTTTAAAATTTTCTATTTCACCTTAGGAGTTTTATTTTTATCTTTCAAACTCCAAAAATATTTGGAAAGTGATGCATTATTTTCATAAGTATTATTAGTAAGGGACAACACATGTTGATATCACCTTTGTATTAATCCCTCTGTTAAATTGTATATATATATATATATATATATATATATATATATATATATATATATATATATATATATATATGTCAGAGAATGACTAGTGTAATTCATTATTATTTCAATATATTATAGGTTTTATTTTAATTTCTGGGATGAAGAGTTATTATTTACACGCGGACTATTTTTCTCATCTTTGTTCTTATTATTACAACGTTTCGGCCATTGTGCGACTGGTTTTCATCAGATGCTTGTCGATAACTATACTGAATAGCAGAAACCGCATCACTTGAGTACAACTAACAGTAGCAAACACTAAAATGGATATCACATGTAATTCGAAGAGAAAATAATGACATAATCAAGATGTTGATGTTCCACACTATTTCAAATAAAATGTTAAGAAGGAAATCTCACTCAGTACTGGAAAGAGCGATAACATCTACAGGATTTGAGAAACCTGTTTTCCTGCAAAGTTGTTATAAGAGAACTGTTATGGGACCTTACCCATAATAACATAATGGACTATTCCATACGTAATAAATACTGTGCCTCAATAGGAAGCAGGGAGTTCCGTCTGAAGTCTGGAGTGAAGTCTGAAGTCTGGAGTGAAGTCCGTCAGGAGTCTGTCAGTCAGTCAGAGCGAGCGAGTAAGTCTGTCGAGTCAGAGGCAGTCCGGAACAGAGTCGCGTTCAGACAATTACTACTAAACCTGATTGTTCGTACTAACACTTTCTACTTCTCTGTAAATATTCCTGTTTGTAATATATTTGTGTTATTCCATATCCGCCTTCGAGTTCTTCTTTATTGGTTCGACCTTGGACTATCATCGTGGTACAAGGAACCGGACCATAGCAAGAACGATTTTATAAATTTCAACCTAAAGTGTATTGGCCGCTCACTTAACTAATGTCAAATGTTTCCTTATTGGGAAATGGCTAATATTACCTTTACCGCCACCAAGGAATTCGAACTGAACCCTTAATTCAATCTACAATGATTACTTAAGAAAGTCGAAAGAAAATGAAAAACATAATTCATTAACATTTTAATATATTATGCGTAGCATACATTCTTGACCGATGTGTAAAAACTAGTAAGATACAATATGATGTTTTGATTGGATAAACTTATTTGAATATTATTTTTTTACTTCATTACACGTGACACGTATCTAACCAATAAGAAATAACCAAACACAACATTCCATTAATCTGCGTCTCTTTGCTTTTTATCATTTTTTTTCATCATTTCTATTTTGATCTCTGACGGAGCTTTAATAAAGTGAAACATTTTAGATTAAGATCTGTTTCCTACTTGTTCTTTATCCTATCATTTTGTCGGATTCCTATTCATACACGATTTATATTGTCCTTATCTTTGTTGTTATCCCAAAGTTTCGGCCATTGTGCCATCTGGACTTCATCAGATGCTTGTTGATCCGATTAACTATTAGGGAATTTCGAACAGAACTTTTACTCTAATGTACAGTGCTAGATAATTCTCGTTCTACCGCCCATGTCGAGTGATATATAGTTCTTATTCTTAGTACTGCTCAGTTTTCTGCTCGCCCATTTCCAGTCAAAATACAATCCAGGCAATTAATAATTAAACTAGCAATTAATACTTTTAATACAGAGAGTTTTATTATTTCAAATGTGATGTTCTCTTTCGAAAGCGTCTTAAATTGGAATGGTTATCTTCCCCTGATGCAGGAATACTTAATAGGTATTTAAAAAATAATTTAGTCACACGGTCACACGTCTGGGTGATCAAACTTATTTTGTAGGGTATTCACATACACCATAGGAGTAGTGGTAGTAAAATTTTAGGCTTGTTTTTACGAAGATGAAAACAGGAAAAATAAATGTACACAATTCAGAGAAGGCATGGCAAATTGTATGATAATTTCATACAATTTTTTTATGTATCTGTGCGTGTGTATTTTACGTTACAATTGTGATAGTGTCCATGTTATAAAAGGGAGTAAGTTACTCCGTAATATGAAAAGTCCTCACACGGAGGGAAGTTACACACGTGTTGTCACCCCGACAGTTCTTAGGCGAAGAGATTGAATCTGACATCTTTGGTGGGATGTCCGCATTTCCGACAGGAATGGTTTTTGTTTCATGCTGGGAATAATTTTATAATTTTTTTTTATTTAATTTATTTTAAACAAGGTTTAAATATTGTTGTTTTATTTATATTTTTCATTATTATTATTATTATTATTATTATTATTATTATTATTATTATATTCATTTGTAACAATAACAATATTCATTATTATTATATTCATTTGTAACAATAACAATATTCATATTCATTTGTAACAATATCCCTACAATTTCAATAGTAAACTAGTGTTAGACTAAATTAACCATCATTCTACTCATACTATTTGATAAAGCTTTTTTTAGTCTGACACAAATTCAAGGCACTAAGCAGAAATCGAACTCTCTTCTGTAATAATAGTTTGCGATTGGAGCATGCTAATTCCAACTCTATGGTGAGTCGCCTAAGTTTATCACTTAAAATGCAATTTTAAGTTATTTCTGTTCACCCTCATTTCAGCTCACACTTGACGGATGGCATATACCTTTACTTGACATTCGATCAAGTGGTATCTTCTTGAAAGGTCGCCGATGTCCGAGAATGGCATTTGAAATTTCTCAGCTCTTTATTGTTTGTGCAAGCAGTCAACTGTAGCAGATCGTGGACAAACTTTAAGAAAACTTCAGCAGCGAGGAAAATACAGGAATACCTTGGTAAGTGCGGCTAATGTGTACACCGGTAACTATAAAAAATCAATTTTCAATTACTATGGTTAAACTGAAGAATGTTTTTACCGCACTAATCGAATTTTGGTTGCTAAAACTTTTAGCGCATTAATCGAAAACGCATTAATCTAACTCGCATTAATCGAGGGATGACAGCAGTTTCTTTTTAATTTTTTCTATATGTTCATCCAATACAAGGACAAAGAGCCACTCAAGATAGATAGTTACTGAACTAGGTTTTTGTAACGGCGTAAAGAGAGGGAGAAGGAATTGCATACTATGAGGATATGTAGGATAGATAACGTTTGACCCTAGACAGAGAGGTTAATATTGGAGTAGCATCAGTTGCGACCTTTACAACTAGGACCCACGCACACAGAGTCGAATCATCCCCATTCGCTTCGTATTCCAAATATAAAGAGAACGTCACAATCCGACAGAATTTATCCAGGAACTCTTACTTTGTGTAGCAGATTCCAGAGAGAATCTTTCTCGAACCGTTAAGGTCCTAACCTCTTCAAGTATAGGGTCAACCGTTATCTATCTATCTATCTATCTATTATGGTAATTTACCCACGCACGCATGGACAGCTATAAATAGGAGCAGGTACTGCCTTTTGGAGAAGGAAGTTTTTAGCAGTCAGCTCTGACAGTCGGAACGAACATTTTTGCTGTAACACTTTCGCTTGTATATGTTTGTGTTACTGTTCTTGTTAATATAATTGTTTAACTCATTTCCTTTCTTCGTGTCTTTATTTCTGGCCCTAACAAGGCCACAACACTATCTATCTATCTATCTATCTATCTATCTATCTATCTATCTATATATATATATAACTTTAGATGACCGTTTCATTCTCAAGCATCTCAATCATTTGAAGTTCCAAACATCGCTTGAAAATGCAACGTTCATTTAAAGTTAAGGTCTAATATTTTTTGTTAAGGTATTTTAATTTTTAAAATTATTTTTGTTGTTAAAAACTGACTATTCTGATCTAATTAATATATGTATATTAATATATATCTCCATTTTCTGCATTTCTTTCAACCTTCTTCCATAACTCTATACCTTGAGTGGTTCAGGGACCTTGTATGGGTTCAACAATAATATAAAAAGATATATCATTCACTTAAAGCCATGCCAGATGATAAAAATTGTTGGTTGGTTGATTTTAAAGGATGTCAACCCTTGTTGAGTGATGTTATGTCGATTTTTGTAAGGGACGCTAAACTCAAATGTAATGGTGAAACAGACTAAGCCCGTTAATTATTACCTAACCCGAGACGCTTAGATAATTGACTATTTCTCATTAGTGAAAGTTATAAATATTGAGACCATTGTAAGAGCTAGAACTTTGGTAATTTTCAATGTAGAAAAGTCCTTTTCATTTGTGATATTAAGGCAAAAAAATCTTCCTACTTCTCATCCTGAACCTCCACCACCACGGACGCTTAGTCGTGCACCGAATTGCACCAGACTTAAGAAATATCAATAGCCGTCGTCAAAATAATGGCTATAAGTAAACATTAGCCACAGCAACCCTTGTCACAAACTACAGCTGAGGAAGGCCGGAGAGTACAGAGCCAAAACGTAGTGAGCAAACAAACAACAACAGAAATGAGAAAATTCGTCCGAAGAAAACCAAACAGAAGGATTAACAAACTAGACTGACTACAATTATAACATGAAAAACGCTAATCTGATCAAAGAGGAAAAAAAAAGAAATATAGTTTTAAAATGTGCTATATTTATGGATAAAGTGCTCAATATCAGAGATAGTGCGTATGTGAATCTAAATATAAAAGTGAACATTGAAGTCAACAATCAGAGACGATAGGCTGTTTCATGATGGATGCAATCGTCAGGCTGCCTGACGATTGCGCCCGGCATGAAAATTAATGGTCCATTAATTATATTTTATTTCCGCAGGAAGGTGTTTTTTTTCTGGTTCATCAGATCACATTTCCAAGCATAAAAATATGGTTTTAAATTTACGTATTATTTTTATACACTTCTGAGGGGTAGTTTTAAGTTGATCTAAGGTGATAGAAAGAGAGGTGGTGGAGGAGGACAATAGATAGGGTCAAAATTAGAGAAGAAAGGGATAGATAGCAATAATTTTAAAATATATTTTTATTTAAATATTTTAGAGTAAGGGGGTGGGTTAAGGACCGGACATTGTATTATTTAATAAGTCATCTCACAGAACTCGGAAAAAACACCTTCCTGTGGAAATAAAATATAATCAATGAGCCCTTAAGGTTGTCTGTTTTCTAATTTTAATTAAATTAAATTAATATTCGCTCTGGTTTGATATTGAGCTCTCTGGATTACATCCAGCTTGGGATTATTCATACGCATTACCAAACTTTTCATTACCTACCTACCTACCTATATATATATATATATATATATATATAATTATTCATTTATAACATAGATATGTTATAAAATCACAACAAAAATAGCCATTTTGTTTCAACACCCCCCGGTGTCTTATCAAGTGATGATGTTGAAACAAAATGGCCATTTTTGTAGTGATTTTATAACATATCTATGTTATAAATTTTTAAATAAATAATTATATCTGCTCTACTTTGTATTGAGCACTCTTTTAAGAATAGTAATTGTTGGATATTGGAATTCATTCCGTATACACCAATTATATACTTGGGTATATATATATATATATATATATATATATATATATATATATATATGAAATTAATTAAAAATTCCCAGCATCCTTTGTTTGTGTGCATGTGTATTCGCGCCAACACAACAAATTTAGTCCGATGAAGTCCTAAAGGACGAAACGCGTCAAACTTTTCCGATTTTGTCATGCAATTCCCCCATTAATGTATTTATCCAAGACTATTCTGTAGCAGAAAGACAGACATTACAATATTGTCTTTTATATAAAACAGATTAAAAATTCTTCAAATATTTAATATCTAATGTGTTCTTAAGTTTTGTAACTTATAACAACGACTGTTTATTTTTATTTATATTTTATTTTACCGACAGATGATCCCAAAGCCCAGTAAGTTATTTGGGAAACCTGATCTGCTACGTGCCTTTGAGCCGTCTATGTCAACTTCTAATGAACTTTCCGAGACGGCCAGCTACAATTTGAGTTCCTTGTTTTGTTCATTTTAGCGTTTCTTTTCATCGCTTTCCGTTTTATTTATTATGTAGTCGCAACAACATAACAAATTTAGTCTGTTGAAGTCCTAATGGACGAAACGAATCACACGGAATTTTTTTTCCCCCAAATGATTAATAGCAACAATAATGAAAAAGAGAAATTAACTTTTCCAAACGGGTGCAGAACAGTTCTGAACCCGGCTAAAGAAGGTTCCTCTCGATGGTTCTGATGTTTGCTCTTTTGGTCAGATTTTGGGAAAATAGGTCGAGAACTTTTCAGCACGTCCTTGTAGTTAAACGAATGACGAATAGGACACGTTTTTAAAAGCAGTTGCGTTTTACAGAAGTGAACAATTTGTCGTCACACAAATTTCGAAAAGAGTTTCAAAGTATGGTTAAAAAAAATCACATCGGGAGAAAATTGATTGAATCAAAGATAACAGCATTCATGAAAGAGTAAACCCACCTACCCTCGTTGTTTCTGTCCGGCAACGGTGAGAACCGGCAAAGACATTTGTCTCTAATGATCCATCTGTCTGTGGACATTGATTGATGTCCACTTTCTCAAGATCGATGTCAATTCCGCTTGTACCTCTGAGGAAAAAAGAAAAAAATAGAAGGTATATGAAAGTTCCAACGAAATGGTAAGTGCATAGTCTTATACAAGCATCGATTTAAAATAATACTTTTAAAACATCGTCCAATAACTGACGTGACCTTCATCGAATTAATTGCGAATAAAGCTCGTTTTCCTTAACATCATATCTCGCAGAAATGCCGACATAATTCTTTCTTCTTTCATGAGCCGTAAGCACAACAGTTTAAATATCCGGATAGTCTGAAGACAGAAAGTGCAACACCAAAAAAGGTGAACTGGAATAGAAAAAGATGCCTTCCAAAAGCTAAGCAAAGTATTAACAAACAGAAAAAAATCGTTAGGAACAAAGAAAAGGGTTACATGCTATCAGTCCTTTTTATATGACAGTATATGCAGGATAATCTCCTCACAGATGAGGACGAGATTTGAAGTAACAGAAATGTGGTTCTACAAAAGGTTTCTGAGAATACCATGAACAGAACATGTGAGAAACGACGAAATTTTAGAGAAGATGGAAACAAAAAGGACACTTATACTTAACATCAGTATGAGGCATTGGAATTTCGAGGGCACATAATGAGGAAAGAGGGTTTGTAAAACTTGATACTCTCAGGATGGATTAAAGGCAAGCGGGATGGACGAAAATAGCTTATACCCTACCTAGCGAGCAGGATAGACGAAAATAGCGCATAGCCTACCTAGCGAGCGGGATGGACGAAAATAGCGCATAGCATATCTAGCGAGCGGGATAGACGAAAATAGCGCATAGCCTACCTAGCGAGCAGGATAGACGAAAATAGCTTATACCCTACCTAGCGAGCAGGATAGACGAAAATAGCGCATAGCCTATCTAGCGAGCGGGATAGACGAAAATAGCGCATAGCCTACCTAGCGAGCAGGATAGACGAAAATAGCGCATAGCCTACCTGGCGAGCGGGATGGACGAAAATAGCGCATAGCCTACCTAGCGAGCGGGATAGACGAAAATAGCGCATAGCCTATCTAGCGAGCAGGATAGACGAAAATAGCGCATAGCCTACATAGCGAGCGGGATAGACGAAAATAGCGCATAGCCTATCTAGCGAGCGGGATAGACGAAAATAGCGCATAGCCTACCTAGCGAGCGGGATGGACGAAAATAGAGCATAGCCTACCTAGCGAGCGGGATAGACGAAAATAGCGCATAGCCTACCTAGCGAGCGGGATAGACGAAAATAGCGCATAGCCTACCTAGCGAGCGGGGATGGACGAAAATAGCACAAAGCCTACCTAGCGAGCGGGATGGACGAAAATAGCACATAGCCTACCTAGCGAGCAGGATAGACGAAAATAGCGCATAGCCTACCTGGCGAGCGGGATAGACGAAAATAGCGCATAGCCTATCTAGCGAGCGGGATAGACGAAAATAGCGCATAGCCTACCTAGCGAGCAGGATAGACGAAAATAGCTTATACCCTACCTAGCGAGCGGGATGGACGAAAATAGCGCATAGCCTGTCTAGCGAGCGGGATAGACGAAAATAGCGCATAGCCTATCTAGCGAGCGGGATAGACGAAAATAGCGCATAGCCTACCTAGCGAGCGGGATGGACGAAAATAGCGCATAGCCTACCTAGCGAGCGGGATAGACGAAAATAGCGCATAGCCTATCTAGCGAGCGGGATAGACGAAAATAGCGCATAGCCTATCTAGCGAGCAGGATAGACGAAAATAGCGCATAGCCTACCTAGCGAGCGGGATAGACGAAAATAGCGCATAGCCTATCTAGCGAGCGGGATAGACGAAAATAGCGCATAGCCTACCTAGCGAGCGGGATGGACGAAAATAGCACAAAGCCTATCTAGCAAGCTTGAGTAAATGGGTGTTAAAACAGGGTTTAGTAGAGATAAGAATGCAAAATCTATTGAGGGCTACAAAGGATGGGAAATTGTGGAGAGCCATTGTCATCAACGTCCTGAAGGGACACGGCACATCGAAGAAGAAGGTCATTTCAGGACGTGGGCGACCATGGACTCTATAATTTCCTAACTCTTGTAGATTTAGGTAGGTTACTCGTTGTTTCCCCATGAGATTCCTTATTCCAATATACCCCATGAGTGTTGCAGACACAAAAGAGGCCCCGGCTCGCATGCGGCCATGTCTGTCAAAATCAGTTACATCCGGGTTTTCTCT